CACTCACTCAATCACACACACACACACACACACACACACGCTCAGTACGTGGCTTAATGAGTGAGTAGTATTACTGATGAAAATTGAAAAGTCCATCTACTACGGACAGGGCACAAAAAAACCCCCTGAAGGTTCTAACTGGGTCCCTCGGACTGCAGAATATTGCGAAGGTGATTTTTTTTGGCTCCTAACGGGGAATGGGGGTCTGTGTTACTCTAAGTCGCTTGTGTAATATGGTCCAGCCCAGCCTTTTCGGGATGCTTTTTCGCACGAAGTAGTCTGCCTCCGACGTTCCATATCGTATGCGTAATTACTCCTTGAGTACGTGACTCGATATCCTATATATGCGCTTACCAATTACTTGAGAAAGCCGCTTTGGCTGCGGCACTGGCGCTTGCGTGTACATGCCACATAGTCACCGCTCCCCGGTGCCATTCTTGTGGTATGTTCAACTCTGGCCGGTGACTGGAAGTGATGCGCAGCTTCGTAGATGATGGTCTTCCGAAGGTATTGATGTCGCCGGGATGGTGTGTTGGTGACGTGGGAGGTAGTACCGAAGGGTGACGGATGGTGCCTCTGTGGAAGGTGTGGTGATTGTTGGGTGAGTTAGTGAAGTCGATACTGCTCGTCGTCAACGCAAGCATCAATCGATGCCTATGCGCGCAGTAGCCGAACGGAGTTCGAGTGATTGCCTTGTCTGCAGCTGACTGTGCATCCGGAGTGCTTCGCGTGTAAGTTGGGCTGTGAGGCGAGGGATTGGCTTATCATTGTGCGGCGGTAGCGGAGGACTCCTCTCTCCATGTATGCGAGCATGGTAATGGGTGATTGATCCCCTTTCCCACCCCAAGTGTTTATCTTGTTCCCCCTCCTGTTTTCCTCCTCTGTGTACTACCTTCTGTCGCTCGAGGACAATGGTCTCTGTATATGAGTCTGATTGTCCTTGCGGTTTCGTCACCCCTTTTCGGAGCATATTGGGGGCGGTTTTTGACCTCTTATGAGCCGGTTTGGTGGATACCGGCAAAAAGTACTTTAGGGATTGCATCCACTGCCCACCCTCCAAATGCTGACTATCAAAGCGTCGCATGGCCGAAATAGGGGAATCTTTGTCCTATGATTGGTAAATGAGACCCGATGTATGGATCTAGCAGAACTTACATCTAATGGTGCTCCTTCTGTGTTGGTTTGTGAACTGCTTGTTTTATCCCCATGTGTGTTCGTCTGTTGGTGTTTGTCTACTTTGTATATGGGTACATTTCGGTGTGTATACGTGTATGCGTTCCCGTTTGTCTGCGATGTGACGAGATTTAGGACCTTGCTGCTTTGCGAAACTCTTCGTGAAGATCCGGATTGAAGTACGAGACCGTCCATTGAGGAGTTCATTTTCCAATTGACCATGGAGTCTGCATGGTTCTTTACCTGTGTCCTTCTCGCCGTTGTTGCCTATATGTCCTTCCTGGCGGTGCTAGCCGTGTTGGATCGCCGGAACTGCTAATCACTTGGCCTAGGGAGGAGTAGAGGCGGTGATAGTTGTGCGTGGAGAATCACATCATTGGTGCAAAGTAATCGTGATGAGTTTTGGATGCATCCTGGGGTGGAGTCACATGCGAAAAGTGTTGATTAATTCTGTGACGCAATCATGAGGGGTATTGTCGTGTTGGGATGGCAATGCTTTGCCTTTGCCCTCGTGTTTCTATCTATCGGGATCATCGGAGGTCTCCATATGTCAGATCTGATAACTATGCAGGCGACGATGAAGGGTCAGTTTTGCCCTGTCGATGGACAGGGATTCGGACTGCCGGGTATTCCGGGGATTGCGTGGTTGCCCTCACTGTTTATGGTATTGGTAATAACGATGGGTTCGTTTATGACGGGTGTGATTCTTCAATATGGATTGAATATACTTGAATATATTTCATCTTGTTTATACTATTATTCTATTATATCATTATATCATACTATATCCTATCTAAAAAAGCATATATACATTGCTCAATTTGTGAAAGAATATCTATCTTATCTCTATTCTAATCATTTCAAAAATGTAATCGGATCGCCTGTCGCTGGAGATAAAAGATTGCGATGAGAAATCATAATTAGACGTGCTTCTTTCTGTGATTCTGGGGATAAAGGAACATGTACAGCCATCTGATCTCCATCGAGGGGGAAAAAAACCCGGGTCGAGATGCAGTTGTTACCATACCACTGATGGAAGTTGTTGTAATCGAACCATGGAGTGTCTAATGTAATGCTTTTTGCCCAAGTGTGTACGGTTTTTTAAGTCTGGATTCCCCCTGTTTGATTTTCCTGAAGGTTACCCCCCTGACATCCTTGAAGAATTGAGAGCCTATTGGTCTCCCGCATGGTATGTGATTGCATCATGAAATCTTCATCGCTCGTTGTGTTTCTTCCCACAGTGTGCATCTTCAATATGGGCACCTTTTTTGAACTCACCCTGTGTATGAAGTGTTCTATGCAAAGGTGGTACAGCCTTACTTGGGCAATCGTGAATGCACACCCCGATACTCTGCCTGCCGCGTTCGCGGGGCACTGTTTACCTCAACACACACATCGTCCGCCTCGATAGAAGAAAACGTGAACGAAAAAATAAAATAAAAAAAATGACCCAACTACGAACGCAATGACTGGACTTAAATGAGCCCTACATCGGCGACCAACCACGGATGGCGGCAACGATCTCCATAAGCGAGTGGCACATCATCCTCTGTGTCTCATCGGACGCCGCATAGTGCGCTTTTTGGACTGCAACTTCCTGCTCAAGTATGTCGAATTGCCTCGTGAATATGCTGCATTGCCGCTTGCTAGACGATTCGATCGTCGACGACATCAGTTAGCCATGGCGGTCCATGACATCAGCGATCAACTCCAACGCCTGTTGACGCGCATTCTTCCGCTTCCCGCCTCCAGCCCCACTGCCTGCATTGTTGTCGGAGTCCCTTGCAGAAGAACGTTCTTTAGGGAAGCCTTCACCACCGGCCTCACTACCAACAGACTCCCCACCACCCGCTCCTCGCCTGGGCAGTTGCACCCCATCCGGACTTCCGGTGTCGGCGACGTTGGGAAGGAAAATGGTGTGGTTGACCACCATGCCTGCGTGGATCTCGTTGTACAGCACCCCCTCCATCCGGAACTTGAAGTTGTGCTCCTTCCTTTCTTCATTCGATAGCCTAAAGAAATTTGGCTGGTTGCTCGCATTCTGAAACCTCTGTATCTTCATGTAGTTTTCGAAGAGATTGTCCCACTTCTTCATGCAGTCGTTCGTGATATATGGCGAGATACATGTGGAGGGACTGCCTTCCCTATATGTGCACCTGTCAATATAGGTGGTAGTTATGAACATGTATGGCAACCTATGGTTGTGGAGGCTGATTGTTAGCCATATGGGATGTTCAATGCCGATCTGCTAGTACAAGGGCAACACGAGATTGCGTTGGATGAATCAACACTAGGAGAGGAGTAGGAGACTCCTATTAAGGTACGAAGCTCTACGCCTACAAAAACAAAGACACAAGAGGTCCATGTTTCTTATCTAAGGGCAATAATAGTTGATGGGGGTGTCGAGGGAGAAGAAACACTTCAAGCACAAAACATCGAAGAAGACGAAGGACAAGTAATATTAATAGCGCCCTACGTAGCACCGTGTTCGCGTTCGGAGGCGAACGCGAACGTGTTCGCCCGAACGAGAACAAGCGCCCAAAACTCTCTGAACACGAACATAAAAAAATATATGTATATAAAAAAAAACAATTTCTCAGAAAAATCTGAAAACAATATATGTTATGTAAAATGACAATACAAGCAACTTTTGCCTTGGAGTCATATTCAAATTCGTAGCCGATCACGAGTAAAAAATCAAAAACCGATTTTTTTTATTTTGATTTTTTTACCAAAAAAACAAATGTTCGCCCGAACAGGTTCGCGAGCTGTTCGCCCGAACAAGTTCGCGCAAACATGAAGGGGCGCGAACATGTTCGCCATGCTACGAAGGGGCGCGAACATGTTCGCCTCGCCAGATTACGAGAATATAATTATTCACTCCATCACAACAAGTAATAACACCTGACCAATCTTTTATAAGCATCAAAGAATCCCTTATCACTCCTCGTCTAATGGAAGGTATCATAGAAGGATAAGGTCAACGAAAATTATCAACTAGCCGACGAGATGAGATGTTACCTCCCTCGTTTTATAGTCATTATGTATTGAACACCATATAACATTTTGTTGGTCAGTGTTCATTAGACGGGTTGTATGTTAATTTGCACTGCTTAGTATGTTGGCGAGTTGTACAAAGGTCATATAATTGTGGATGAAAAATATTGAGTCATAATACTTTGTTACTGTCGGTCATGGTTGTGGTCTTTACATTGCTTAAGGTGCAGGTTTGAAAGAAGGTTAACAAATACCTCTACTTTCAAGTGATTTTCAGTTGCTTCACACGAGTGTTGGATACTTGGATAAAGGAACTTAAAACCTCTTTCAGAAGCTTCGGTCACTTTAGATCATTTCAAAGGTTTCAGGTATCCCTACTTAAGACTTCATAAATGACCTCAAATGACACACAACAACATTGAATCAAAACAAAAACACGAAACAAAAAAACATAAAATTTAACCCCCAAACCACTTCAAACTCCTTAAATGATCTGAAGTGTGTTCATGCCTTTTCAATGATTTTCGAACTCTGCTAACAAACTTCAGAATCTTGAATTATGAAATTTCATAAGGTCGTTAAACAGTTGTGCAGACTTCGAGTGCATGTATGAGCGTGAGTTTTTTTTTTTTCACGCTTGTGTGATTTTTACGATCACACTCCCACATATATGGACTTGTCTAGAAACATGCAACCTACGTAGCACCGTGTTCGCGTTCGGAGGCAAACGCGAACAAGCGCTAAAAAACCCCCGAACGCGAACATAAAAAATATTTAAAATAAAATAAAAAGAAGTTCTCTGAAAACTCTAAAAAAAATAAATGTTATGTAAAATAATAATACAAGCAACTTTTGCCTTGCAGTCATGTTTCAATTCGTATACAATTATGAGTTAAGAATAAAAAACCGAAAAAATATAACTTTTTTTTTTTACCGAAAAAAAAATATGTTCGTCCGAACATATTCGCGAGCTGTTCGTGCGAACGCGCAAACACGTTCGCACGAACGTTAAGTGGCTCGACCAGTATGTAACTTTCGTGAGAAAGATATGTTTTATAAACCCATTGTGGATTTGTGATTAAATGATAAGTGAAACTGTTTGTCTCCTCTTTATATCCATGCAAGTCTGTCAGAGGGACAAAAAATACACAAATATAGGAAATAGAAAATTGAGAAATACAATTTGACTTGGATGAATATTGTGAACATCCTGAGCGATTTATGAAAATAAGTGTGTAGGTCCTTATGATACATATAGAGGACATAAAGTTGGTCACTCTTGTGAGTTTTGAGATAATATTGTGATAACTCCCTTGAGTGGGAAGTTATTTAAACATTTTTAAGTGGTACAAAAATAACTTGAATGCTTGAAGTTTGATGAGGAGAGTTCAAGTTATCAACAATGATATGAAATACTAAGATTATTTGGAATTTGTGAGATGCTCTTAAGATATGTGATGTACTTCACCCTAATATAAGTGAAGAGACCACAACCTTGTGAATATATGGAGACCTTGAAATTTGGAAGTGTGGGAAGGGATTAGTTGGTACATGTCTTGAATTAAAGTTGTCCTCAACCTAGTCCCGCATAGGCTGATTATTGTGAAAAAGGACCAATCATTCACGGTGATGCTAATAGACGAAAATATATTGAGGCCCAACTTAGGACCAACACTTTACATCACTGGGACACAACTCCTAATGTTGCCTGCTAGCCGGCGTAACTTGACAACACGCCCATGACTTGCCAATGATTAGAACGCAAAGGGTTAGTCATCTCGAAAATTTTAATTTGGTGGAAGTTTGAGAGATTATATAAAGTCTAAAGTCGGGATCCATTTGGATACCTAAATATGATGAGTCGTTTATCGTTGTGCAACCAACAACGATACCATCGTTCTATAACAACGCAACGGGCCGTGGACTTGGTCCGATCAACCAGTCTGCAGTGAGCCAAGATAAAGACCCAACCCGCATGTGCTAAAATCCAAGCTGGGTACTATGTGATTTTGAGGTTATCTTTGTCAAGTTACTACTATTGACAAAAACAACTATGTGAATGAGAGAGGTCTCGGTTAGGGCCCCCATCGAAAGTTAAATGCTCGTAGTCAAGATTAAGATTGTAAACACCCAACGAGAAGTTGGCGATGTCTAGGACCAAGAGAGAGGACTACCAAACTGGTACCTGAAAGCAAATGTTAAAATGTAGTACAAAACTTTTATCCCTTAAATCTAAGGTCATAATATGAGAGACCCGGGTTAGAGCTCTGGCAAAGGAGAGTTGTAACGAGAGCAAGGTGGCAGATGCCTCGAACCGACTAGAGCCGACGGATCGGATTGGTTACTTTCTAGTCAACAAATGTGTGTTCTGCGTGATAAGATTTGATTCCACAATGTGACAGAGACGTTACTTACTAAGGTCCGAAAAAAGCTATCAGCACAAATACCTTTACAGGCTAGGCTGACAGTTGTTCGATGGGAAGACGTCTCCCCCATACGTCTCCGCGAGACGGTCGGGGGGGAGTTGTCCTGAATCCCGGACAACAATGCTTTTGTCATAAAAAATAAAGAAATAAAAAACTTTGGGGGATCTGCGTACCACTAGGGGACCCACCAAAAACATTTTCGAGCCATTCTAAGCAAAAAAGAAAGAAAAAGAGAAACAATCCGACCGAGGGAGGATGTGGCGGAGGAGGAGAAGGATGATGAGTACGAGGAGGAGAATGAGAAGTAGGAGGACAAGGAGGACTCGGAAGAAGAAGAATAAGCAGAGAAGGACAATAAGGGGGACGAGGACGAAAATAAGGGGGTCTTGGCAATGGACATCGAGGAGGAGGACACGACCACAGTGGTGAACAACGAGGAGGAGGAGGTCACACCGATGGAGAAGGAAAAGGAGGACGAGGAGGACTGAGAGGGCAATTTTTTTCATGAATCAATCCATCAACCAACCGGCCAACCAACCAATCAATCAATCAATCTATTTTAATTGATTGATTAATTGATTGATTAATTGATTGATTAATTGATTGAATTATTGATTGATTAATTGATTGATTAATTGATTGATTAATTAATTGATTGATACTATTTGATAGATTAGGGGGGGGAAAAAATCGGGGGAGCGAAGGGGCGATGGCAACGTCACCAACGATGGCAAGTAGGGAATCTCTTTGGTGCGGCGAGGGATGACGACAGGGCTTAAGTAGCGGGGGAGGATGTGGAGGAAGAGGAAAGGGATCATGAGTACGAGGAGGAGGAGGAGGCGGGGGAGGATGAGTGAACAACTGCAGCGACAGACGCAAATGAAAAGGGCAACAAGAAGGAGGGGGAAAAAGACAAGAAAGAAGAAGAAGAGGAGGAGGAGGAGGGGGAGGATAGACATAGTGCAGCAATGAACAAGGTTGGATAGGACGAGGACGGCAACGAGTACGAGGATGCCGAGGAGGAGGAGGAGGAGGAGGAGGAAGGCGATGAGGAATAGGTGAGGAGGATGACAAGGAGGATTACTGGGAGGGGGCTGAACTGACTGACCATGTGATGGTTAACACAACGGTTACCTTCCCTTTTGAAAAAAGAAATACAATCAACAAATCGATCAATCAATCAATTTATCAAATCACATAAATGAATAAAGATCCCACCCAATAGATTAATTCGATAGACTAAGTATCTCGATTATACAGATCCCATTGAATCAATCGATTCAATACGATCTTGATTTGTGTTATTGGACTTGATTGATATATTGATTAAGAAAAAATGTTATCCCAGTCCTCCTCCTCTTCGTCCCTGTCCATCATCGGGGCCTCCTCCTCCTCTTGTCAATCGTCGTAGCCTCCTCCGCATAGTCGTTGTCCTCTTTCTTGTTGTCCATCGCTCCAGCCTCGTGCTCCTCATCCTCCTCAACTTCTTCTTCTTCCTCCTCCTCGCCCTCCGACTCCTCATTCTCCTCCTCGACCTCATAATCCTTCTCCTTCTCCTCCACTTCCTCCCCCCCCGTCGCGGCCTTATTGCCATCCATCGTCGCAGCAGGCACCTCGCCTCCTCGCCATCGTTGCCCACGTTGTTACCCCATTTATTTTTTATTTTTTATTTTTTTTCCAATCAATTGATCAATCAATCAATCAATCAATCTATCAAACAAACCACGCAAACGAATAAAGATCCCATCGAATAGAGGGATTTGATAGGATCTTTAAGTTAATAATCAAGATCCTATAGAATCAATCGATTTAACACGATCTTCCTTTGTTTGATTTGATTGATTGATTGATTGATTGATTGGTTGGTTGATTAATTGGTTGATTGATTGATTGATTGATTGGGGGAAAGGGGGGGGGAAGGGGGGGAAGGGGGAGGGAAGGGGAGATGATGACGTGAACAACGATGGCGAGAGTGAAAGTGCCTGCTACTTCAAGGAACAACGATGGCGAGAGTGGAAGTTCCTGCTACTTCGAGGAATGACGATAGTGCTGCGGCGATGGGGGTGGAGGTGGAGGAGGAGGAGAGGGATAATGAGGACAAGGAGGAGAACAAGGAGTAGGAGGACAAGGAGGAGAACAGGGAGTGGGAGGACGAGGGGGAAAAAAAGTGGAGGAGGATAAGGGGGAGTTGGAGGCTGCAGCGATGGAGGAGGAGACCATAGCGATGGAGGAGGAGTAGGAGTAGGAAAAGGAGGCCATGGTCATGGAGGAGGACGAGGAAGAGTACTATGACAACGTGGAGGAAGAAGAAGCTGTGGAGGAGGAGGAGGATCTCAAGAGGGTGAGGACGAGTAGGTGGACGATGAGCACGACAAGGACGAATATAAAGAAGAGGAGAAGTGGAAGGAGGAGGATGAGGAGAAGGACAAGGAGGAGGACGACGAAGGGGAGGTAGGTCACTTGGCATGGGCAGGCGATGGCACCTGGGGTTATGCTCAACAACGTCGGAGTTCGACAACAGCAACACCGAACTCCGCCAGCAGCACTCGGGCCAAGACGTGCGCGTGGGAGTCATGGCCCCAACTTTCGAATTTGAAAATGACACAATCTAAGTTGTCGATCTTGCAGATCTGACGACCAAGATTGGGAATTTTTTTTCGGTTTTGAAGGCTCTACCACCCTCCAATAATTCTTCTTGCCTAGCCCTCCACTGCGCCTTTGCCGCATTTCACTCATGCGCTGCCTAAGTCCCGATCCCAGTGACCCCCTTAAATTGTTTTTTTATCAGACGTGGTGCCCTCGGCGGATGGCCCACCGGTTGTTCGATCGAACTGTCGCGGACGGTCAGGTGGCCGCGGACGTTTGATCCGATAGCATAGCTTACATGGGTATTGGACCTTGTTTTTGTGTGTAGTGTGAGCCACATCTGAAATGTTATTCAATGCGGTGGCACATTTACTTTTTAGCAGTCCACCAAGCCACAGTAGCCGGAACGACGAGCGCACATATGATTAGGGGTGTGAGTGTGTGGCCATGCATTTTGGGGTGTGCATTTGATTGACCGAGTGTTTGGCATTTCCATGAAACTTGATGTGACAAGTGAATCTCACATAGTAGTGAGAACCATAGAAGTATTAAAACTTGATTAGCAAGGCCGCGCACATTGCATACCCGTGCACAAAGGCGGTATTGTCAAGTTTGACCACCGGTACAACGATTAGAAGTAGGTACTGTTGATTTATTTATTACTGTCCCGATCTCACCAAAAATGGACACAAATGTATTGGGCGAGAGAATGGACATGTATGTGCTACTTAGAAATAACCAAAGCAAACATGTCCTACAAGGATACAATCAGGACACCTTGCTTATCACAATTGTAAGCAAATATGGATCTCAACACACTTTCGCATATCGGGCGAGTGGATGGGCGTGCCTATCATTACATTAAGTCTCTTGAAGAAATCCTGTTCTCATAAAATCAGAACAACCGTCCCGTGCGAGAGGTCGACCACGCCTGCACAACTTAGGGACGACCTGAAAAAATATATTATCCAACATGGATTCGATCATGACATCTTGCTCATCAAATTTATAAAGTATAACAAGTATGAATCTCAACACACTTCCGCATGTCGGCCAAGTGTGTGGGCGTGCCTGTCACTATACTAAGTCTTCTAAAGAAGACGGAATCTCACCAAACATCCATACAACCGTTTCCGGCGAGAGGATGGACATGCCTACATTTCTTAGGAATAAACGAAGTAAACTTGTCCAACAAGGATACCATCAAGGCGCCTTGCTCATCACAATTATAAACAAGCATGGATCTCAGCACACTTCCGCATATCAGGGGCACATTGCTTATCACAATTATAAACAAGTATGGATCTCAGCACACTTCCGCATATCGGGGGCACATTGCCTATCACAATTATAAACAAGTATGGATCTCAGCACACTTCCGCATATCGGGGGCACCTTGCTTATCACAATTATAAATAAGTTTGGATCTCATCATACTTTTGCATATAGGGCGAGTGGATGGGTGAGTGGATGGGCGAGTGGATAGGCGAGTGGATGGGCATGCCTACGTTGCTTAGGTTGCATTCGAAAATGAATTCGTTAGAAAGAGGACACAATATAATGTCTTATTTTAACGAATAACATGTTCTACCCGAACAACTGATATCCTGCAGGATCCGAGGGGGAGTCCTGTTTGTGAAGTGCGAAACTCTGCTGAAAACAGACTTGGATCCAACAAGAAGGCCCGCGGACCTGACCCTAGTTACGATTGAGCATCCCGAAAGACTGGCCGAACAACTTACAACCTGCGGGATCCGGAGGGGTGTTCTGTTTGGAGTGTGAAACTCTGCTCAAAACAGATCCAGATCCAACAAGAAGGCTCACCAACCTGACCCGAGTTGCGATTGAGAATCCCGAAAGACTGCTCGAACAAATGATAACCTGCAGGATCCGGTGGGGTGCTCTGTTCGTGGAGTGCGAAACTCTGCTCGAAACAGATCCAGATCCAACAAGGAGGTCCACCAACCTAACCCCTGTTACGATTGAGCATCCCGAAAGACTGCCTGAACAACTGATAACCTACGGGATCCGGAGGGGTGTTATGTTTGTGGAGTGCGAAACTCTGCTAAAAAAAGATCCCGATCCAATAAGAAGGCCCACCAACCATCATTTACATGGACGCAAAACACTCACCACGGGGAACCATATAGCGACGGATCCCCATATCTGTCCGGCCATCACTTCACACCAAGGTCCACTAAGAGTGCTTTTGGCGATCCACAAAGACAACCACCGACTGTTTGGCAAAACCGGAAGGTTTTGAAGTTCGGATGTCGACGAACTTGTAGTGTACTTCCCCCGTAGCGAGCTGGAAGAAGCCCGACAATCGAAAGAGGCAAAGGATGTGTGACAACACAAAGTTCGACGACCTTTCGGGGTTCGATTACCATCACGATAGGGAAACTAATGGAGTGTAAGCGAGAACATCCGCGATTTAGACGACAGAGGGATTTCATGAAGACAATCCCATCAGGCAGGAGGGGCCTGCCGGGCGGGTGAGCCATTGGCCATTGTTCAGTTTGACGAGTTCTGATGCCGACGGACCTACGTAGCACCGTGTTCGCGTTCAGAGGCGATTGCAAACATGTTCGCCCGAACGCGAGCAAGCGCCCAAAACCCTCCGAACGCGAACAAGCAACTTTTGCCTTGGAGTCATGTTCAAATCCGTAGCCAATCATGAGTTAAAAATCGAAAACGATTTTTTTTTTTTTTTTTTTTTTACCGAAAAAAAATATGTTCGCCAAAGCATGTTCGCAAGTTGTTCGCACGAATGTGCGAACACGTTCGCCTGAACGTGAAGGGGCGCGAACACGTTCGCGTGCTACGTAGCGGCGGACTACATCTTATTTCCATGCTCATGGGCATTGTGCAAAGCGGGAACTTAAAGGACCTCGACGTCACGTCTGTGTGGTCGTGCTGGTGAGGCGCCTGTCGCCAAGTCCGTCGACATCCGAACTTTTTCCTATGCCAACGGTCACAAATACGCGAAGTTTGGACACCGGCGGATTTGGAACATAAACTGCGCCGACATCCGAACTTCAAGCGGAAACCACACAGAGCAACGACTGTATTCGTCGATGGTAGCCAAGTTCGACATCATCCGGACTGCTCTTGTTGACAACCGGACAGAAACACGAAGTCTGTCGGGAACCGAACTTCGTTTGTAAGCCACAAAGGGAGACTGCTTGAGTCTAAGAGCGTGTAACGCCAAGTCTGTCAGGATCCGAACTTCGTTCGATGCCCATCGGAACCAATATGTAAAGTTTGGACAGCAAAGGACATGAAACAGGAAGTCTGTCGCCATCCAAACTTCGTATATGGCGAGGTCCGCCGGCATCCAAACTACTTCCGTCGCCTACCAAGCCCACCTATGTGGAGCTCGAACACAAGCGGACTTGAAACTCGAAATTTGCCAACTTCGGAGGCATCCCCTTCTTTCACTTCTCATCGGATACCAGTATGTGAAATTCAGACACCAGAGCACATGGAACGTGAAGTCCGCCGGCATCCGACCTTCTTATACACACTACAGAAACAAACTGCAAGAGATAAAGATGGTATGTCGCAAAGTCCCTTGGCATCCGAACTTTTTTCGTTACCTATCTTAGCCAATATTCAAAGTGCGAACAAAAGCAGACTTGAAACATGAAAATCAAGGCCGATGTGTGAAGTTCGGATGTCGGCGCACTTCGTGCATTCAAGCACAGTCTGCAGCGAAGTGGGTCATCTGTCTACGCGATTGGACTCCACACCGCTCTAAAGATGTTTGAAGTTGGGATCCCGACGAACTACAACAGCGCGTGGGAGGGGAGAGGGGGGGGGGGGGGGGGGGGGGGGGGGGTGAGGCGGGGTTGCATATGTTTGCTAGGACTGGCCTTCGGCACTCAGCTGCGGATCTTTGACGAGTAAGGTTCAATAAAGTTCAATGACAACTTCTAACCACGCTAGGTTTGGACTCGCTTAAGCCCTCATACACACGAATAGACACGATATCTCGACCGAGGGTATTGTGTTGCTCAACCGATTGTCTGATTGGACGACCAATAACATATTGATCGATCACGTGTTTGTAGCTGGAGGATCGAGTGCCCCAATCAATATCAACGCGTATTTACTCACTTGCGGGCGCGCACACGGACGCATACACAGACATACATGCACACCCGTTCCCGTCGGCCTTTGGCTGG